GGCCGAGCTCCGGGGGCCATCTGTTCTGGGGTCCGACTGGCAACGTGCCTCGGGCAGGGGCTCCCGCTCTCTGTGCTGCAGGAACCGCCCTGTCACCGGGCCTGTCCTCACAGAATGGGCAGTGGCTCTGTTCCAGGCCCACAGCTCATTCTCAGCCCCGCGAAGGCCCCCAGGAGGCTGACAGGGAGTGGACAGAGGGGCACCGGGGCCGTTAGCCTGGCCTGGGAGTCCCCACCCGACCCTGGGGAGCCTGAAGACCCAGAGGACCGAGGGGCCCTGTCACAGCTGCTCCTGGCAGCAAGCCTCTGGGCTGGAACGGCGTGTGTCTCCTGGCAGAGACCCCCAGGTCCCCTTGCCAGACATGCTTTTCCTCTAGCGCTTACAGGTGCCTGGAGTCACAGCACCTTCAACCCTGCTGTTGGATCTCTGGCTCTGTGCGTTCAGGGCCTTCGTCCTGGGTTTGGGCCTCCACCAGTTCTGGCACATGGTGGATGCTTGGCCCTAGGCTTGGGGCCAGAGGACTCGCTGGGCCTGGACGTGAGCGGTGGCAGAGGCCAGGAGAGCTCCAGGCACGTGGGCTGTTCGCTCCTGAGCAGCACCGAGCCTGACGAAGCACGGGCAGGGGGAGCTCTGCCCAAACGTCCTCTGCCCCTCAGGCTCCACGCGGTCATGGCTAGAAGTGCCCCAGAGACCCCATCAGAGCCCACCATGCCCGGGGTCCACGCCCAGGTGGAGTGCCTGTCTGGGTCTGGGGCTCTGGGAGCTGCTCCAGGTAGGAGACAATCTGGCACTTGCAGCTCAAATCCAGGAGGGACCCCTGCAAACGTGGGGGCACCAGGCAGTGGTCAGCACTTTCCAGGGACCCACCCACAGTCCCAGCTTCAGGATCGGGGGGCATCTGTTGGGAAACAGTGCAGCCCTGTCAACCCTAAGGCCAGGCCTGATCCCACCTCTGTCATCAGAGATGCCGGAAGGTTCTGTTATCGGAATCGCCTGTCTGGAACCTTCAAAACCTATGACATGGCCATCTCCATGGCAGCCATGAGCCCCGGAGATGCAGAGCCGAGGAGTCACGTGGCCTGTATCAGTGTCCCGGGGCTGCTGTAACAAATGACCACCAGCTTGGTGGAGGCCAGAAGTCAGAACCAAGGAGCCGGCAGGGCTGTGCTCCCTCCAGAGGCTCGGGGGAGGATACTTCCTGCCTCTTCTGGCTTCTGGGGCCCCTGTTCCCTTGACTGTGGCAGCATCACTCTGGCCTCTCCCTGTGTGTGTCTGTGCCTCAGATCTCCCTCCGCTTCTCTTGTAAGGACACCTGTCATTGGATTTAGAGTCCACCCTAACCCACGATGATCAGACCCTGAGACCCTCAATTACGTCTGCAAATATCAAGTAAAGCCACATGCAGTCCGCAGGGATTGTGACGGGGTCCTGTCATCTGGGGGGGGACACTTTAACCCACTATGCAGCCCTATGCTGTGACACACATCACTGCTCCTCTCTGAGCCTCCTTACTCATCCCTGAGCCTTCCTCGGGGTGGGGGGGCGACGGGGGGCTGCTGGACGGACCAAGGGAGTCACATGCCCGACGTGGTGCTTGTTCACAGCAGGTGCCCCCTACATGTAGATGCCAGGGTTCACTGGGGGCTGGGGTCCCGGGAGGCAGAGTCAGGCAGAGTCGGGTCCCACTGGATGGGAAGAGATGTTGCTGAGTTAGTGCCCAAAGCGCCCCAGGAACTGCCCTGGGCAGAGGTGCCTTGTCCATCACTGGGCAAGGTACAGTGTCCCCCCAACCCCTGGAGGGAGGCAGGACAAGGTCACTTCCAAGGGTCCTTCCAGATCTCCAACCCAAACACCCCCTTCTACTGCACCTTCATCCAAGCTGAAAGAGACTGCAAACCAAATTAGCCAAAGACTTCACAGGAATTGATTTTAATTTAAAGCCCTTTGAGTGCTCTCTCCCCCTGATGAAAGGACAGTAGAATGAGACCTGTTTCCTGATGGCCCCGAGAACTGTATCTGATCTAAATCTCTGCCCCACGCGGTCTGCTCCTGATGAGGTCAGCTTCTCCTATTGTCTCCCGCTGATTACTGAGCTCAACCTCCAAAACCTAATTTCTTCTTTTATTCCAACCTTGTGTCTTCTCACATTCTCTAATAAATATTCTCCTGAACTCAGAGTCTCGAAACCAGAGTGAGTCACAGTAAATTCTGAAACAGGCGTGTGGATGGTTTCTCCCCCATCTAGGTGGGACACAGAACGTCCCCAACTTGGGCACTTCCTCAGGAGCAAGACGGCCCTGTTTTTGGAGGAGGGCACAAATTCAAATCCACGGGCTGAGAGATTCTTGGGCCGGAATCTTAGATGCTGACTAGTCTCATGACTTTGAGAAGTCAAGTTTGACTTTGAGGAAGCCTTGGAATCAGAGGCGTGTTTGGGGAGCGCCCAGAAGTGAGTATGTGTCCGTGCTCGAGAGGGAGCCTGGGTCATGAAGACCCCCCAGCACCAGGGTCCCCTTCCTGGTCCTCAGCCTAAATCCCATTAGCCAGTCACCGTGTGCCCAAGGACAGGCCGGCCCCCTCCAAGACAGGCCCTGTGATGGCAGGCCTGGCTCTCCTTCATCCCCTTCTTCCCTGCCCTAGTGTCCCCCACGGGGCCGACTGTGGAACACAACGCAGGCATTACCTAAACCTGCAGACCCATGATCCCTCCAGGCCTGAGCCCCCGGCAGGGCTCAGACATCCTCCTCCCCTCCCCTCCGTAGCTGCAACCTTGACCTCCACTCCACGAGAAAATCAAGGCTCAGCTGCACCTGCTCCATGTCCCTCAGGCAGCAGAGAAGGGGCCCATCCTCCCCTCAGGGCCAATCTCCCCCTCCCCAGTCACAGCCCCACTGTTCTTCCAGCGCCCTCTGCCCTTGGCATGAGGCTGCCCCAGGTGTCCCCTTTCTCTGCACCCTCCCTCGGCCCTGCCTCCCACGAGCTGTGGGCCCCTCTGCCAGTCCCCACAGTCAAGCTCCGTAAAGGAACCTCTCCTTCCCTCCTACCTGGTGACCACTTGCCAAGGCCACTCGGGGCAGGTGACCGGGCCTCCCCATCCTCTCTAGGAAACATGCCTGTCTCAGATGTGCTTAAGAAACACTTGCTTTTCTCTGCTCCAGGCTAGAATCTGGAATTTGGAAAGCTGCCTTTTAGAGAGGACTAGAAAATGTGTATTCTATTTGATCCAAGGGTCTCAACTGGTCATCTTGTGCCAGAGCTTAGAACCTTGAAATCTTGGGCAAGAGGGACCTGCAGGGATCGCCTGCCCCCAAACACCACAGCGTGTGTGTAGTAAGTGGGGGTGCTCGTTGCTACAGACGCTCACAGTGGGGCCCAGAGACACACCGCGGCTTGGCTGTGCTGGGACTCAGCAACTGTAGTCCTGATGCATCCTGATCAGTGCTGTTCTGACCCTGTTCTCGCGTCTCCAACCTTGGCCAGTGTCCATGACAGCGTCCTCCCTTCTCATCCCCCACAACTTCCAGATAAGACACAGGAGCAGTTCTTGTTGCTGTGTCTCTAACATGATAAAAAGAAAAATGCTTTTAGGGACATGTAAGTCTCTTCAGACGGTGACTCTTGCAGTCTGAGAGGGGAGAACCTTGATTTGCACCCTGAGACAGTGTCTGTACATACCTGGAATCCTACAGGTTCCTTTTGATCGTGACTCTTAGCAAGTCCCCTTCTGCAATCAAAGCTGGCGAGGGGGACAGGCCCCTTTGGAGTTGGCTGGGGCTTCCCGAGGTGCAGGTCCTGGTGGCCACAGCATTTGGCTCCAAATGCAGAGGCTGACAGGTGGAGCCCCAGGGTTTCCTCATAGGGCCTTTACCCTTGTAGACTCTTCTCCATGGAGCACTTGCTAGCCACCCCTGGCCCCATGTAGTGTGTGTGCGTGATGTCTGCGTGCCCACCCTTCACTCCTGAGTTTCCTCTGACAACGACCCTCTCCCCAGTCCAGTGACCCTGGAGGGACTATAAATGTGGCAGTGGGCACATGACGCAGGCCAGCCACTCAGCACAGCACAGCCGCGGAGACCCAGACCCGCCCGGGGACAGGCACGTGACCCAGGCTGGCCCGTCAGCACTGCCCAGCTGCTGACTCCTGGACCAGCCCAGGGACAGGCCCATGATCCCGGCTGCCAGTGAGTCCTATGGGAGATTTAGAAGTATAGTGAAAAGAGAGGGTTGCTCTATGTCTGAGGCTTTTTATGACCAGGAGAGACAGTCTACCTGAGAATAAAGCTACACAGGGAAAGCCGAGCAGAGAGAAAGGGAGAGAAAGACTCTGATAACCTTGTCTAACCTCCTGGATCCAGCTGTGCCTGAAGCCCCTTACATTTTCCAATTCTATAGTCCAATCAATCACCCTATTTCTTTGACCAAGTTTTGAGAAGGGTGTCTGTCACTGGCACACAAAAGACGCCAGACCACTAAACAATGCCTTCTTGCAGAGACTAGACTGGAATGGGACAGCTGGCCGCTGACCTCCTGGTGACACCGCAGCATGGTGGAAGGAGCTCTCCTCAGGGCTGTCAGAAGCTCCCTCAGCCAGGGGCCTGGTCTTTGGGAGGGCTGCGCCATGCCCTACAATGTCCACACTGGGGTCCTGGTGGTACAGGGAGGTGCCGTGGCTCAGAGACCATGACAGGTGAGGAAAACCTCAGGAGCCCCCACCTGAGCCCCAGCCTGACTGAGTCTGGGAAGCAGTGCCCCTATAAACTAGGGTCTGTACGTGTGGGGCCTGCGAACAGGTCCCAGCCTTCATGGGACACCTCCTCGGGAGGTTCTGTGGGCCCGTGGGAGTGCCTGATGCGTGCGAGGGACAGCGTGGCCCACAGCCGCCGTGGCGGGTCTGCAGACAAGCACAGAGGCCCCCCGGCTGCGGGCCAGCCCTCCTGGTCACCTCCAGCCACACCCCCAGCAGCACCTGCAGGCCCGCCCTCTCCCGCCAACGCTCGCGCGAGGACGCAGGCTGCCGCTGAGCCCCGCAGTTCCCTCCCGCTCACCACCTCCCGACCGCACACAGCCAACCACAGATACTACTCCAGCAAGCGGCCAGAAAGCCTAGAGATAGTGTGTAGGCTTCGGAGAAGTGACCATCGCAGGGGCTGGGCGGAAGGTGTGGAGACCACCCGTAGACACCCCGGGCTCAGGCTGGCCTATTTTAAAGGCAAACGCTCGATGAATTCATCCTTTCCTTTCTCTTCCTCCACCTCCTCTGTGAGATCTATTTTAAAAGATCAGAATTTTCTTTACATCCACCTCCAAACTGTGCTGCGGGAGGTAAGTGGGACACAAACAGACGGGGGTGGGGCGGGGCGGCGGGAGAAGCGGGGGCACCTGCGGTCCCGGGTGGGGTCTGGTTAGTCAAGCGCCTCTGTGCCCCCGGGGGTGATGGCAAAACTGCAACACGCTGGGGTCGGACCCCACGGCTCTGTCAGGCCCCCCACCCGTCTCTGTCTCCTCATGGACTTCCCTAGGGGCTTGGGCCTGAGACCGGGCGGGGCCGTGGGCGGAGACAGCGAGGGGGTGGAGCCCGGCATCTGTGTGTTCCCCCTGCGCTTGGACCCCGGCCTGCCCCGCTCACCCCGAAGCCCAGCCGCGGGGGCCGATTGCGAGGACGGTGGGGGACTCGGTGTCTCCCTCGGCTCCCCACCTGGGCTTGGGTCCCACCTCCCTGTCTGGGATCCTGCCAGGTGTGAACCCCCAGCCCAGCCCAGCCACAGCCCTACTCACTGCCCCACAGGGGCAGGAACCTCGGTCGGGAGAATTCCAGCCTACTGAGGGGAGCTGCCCGGACACCTAGAGGCTCGAGGAACCCACGGAAGGCTGTTGAAGTCAGCCTGGGGAGGGGCCCAAGGCAGCTCTGTCCAAAGGACTGGATGATGGCAGCATGGTGGCCCCCAAGAAGTTGCTGGTCAGTGTGGCCTTGTCCTCCACCTGAGAGTCCCGCTAGGGTCCCCCCATCTGGTCTAGCTGGCATCCCAGGATGACATCTTGGCCGGGGAGTACGTGATGCGGCCCCCACCCCTTCATCCCATCCATGATGCCTAAAGGGAACTCCGGTGCAGGAGGGAAGGCAGCAGGTCCCACGTCCTCGTGCACCCCGGTGCTGGTCACCCCAGCTAATTAGCCTGGGGTCCTGCCCAGGCCTGGCCTCTTCCTGCTCAGAGCTCGCAGGTGAAAGGGCTGACATCCCAATGCAGGGGTGCACTGAGACCCCCCTCAGAACCCTTGGTGCTGCTCTTCTAAGGAGGCTCTGGGGAGGGGAGGAGGGAGCCCATCTGTTCCCGCCAGACCACGCCCCACCAGGCTGACCACCCGCCGGCTGGCTGTCCCTGCAGCCTCAGCCTGGAGCATCCTGCTTAGCTTATGTTCTGGAGTCCCAGAGATGACCAAGCCCCCCTGGGCCCTCCCCCTGTCACATGGCTCAGTCCATCCAGCTAGTGCCTCAGTTTCCTGCTGGGCAAGGAGCCACCTTGGCCTGGCCTGCTGGAAAGGGCCTACCCCAGCTCCCCAAGCCCTAGACTCTGCTAGGGTCCTGAGTCTCGGGGACTTGTGCACCCTCACCTGTGGTCAAATCCCCACCTAGACTCCTTCCTTCCTCCCCAGGCCTGCCTCTTTCAAGAAGCCCTTCAGGGTAACTCCACAGCACGGTAATGTCACCCTCTGGAATTAGCACTGCTCGTGCCCACCTACAACCTCTGTCCACTACACACGTGTGCGTACACACATGTACACACATGGCTTACCCTTCTCCTTTAATACTTGCAGGCCCTGCTGTTTGAGTCCAGGCTCGTCAACAGCAGGCCTACTGGTGTTGCCTAACCCCTGAAGCTCCCAGCTCACCCCTCAAGGCCTCTGGATGCGCCCAAGCTTGCCCTCTTAGACCCGCCCCCCCCACCTCCCCAAGCCCAGCCCCCACGCCCCAGGGGAAGCCTTGCTGCCTGGGATGGGGGCAGCTCAAGGAGCACACAGCAGGGATGCCATCGGCGCTTGGTGAACCCGCGTGTGAGGGCCGTTGGAAGACAACTCCCACGCTACAGGTGAGATGTTCTTGGAGCAGACCGGGCTGGGAGCCCCCTCCCCTGGGGCAGCAGGACACGGCTGCATGCAGGCCAAGTGGCCAGGCCTGTCCCCATCACGTGCCCCCTGCCATGTGGTCACACTGGCTCCAGTGGCCTGAAGATGGACAGTGAGCACCTGCTTCCGCCCACCTACTCCTTTACCTCGGGGAGTGGGGGTTCCAGAACCCCTTGGGGTGACCCTTGACGGCCTGGTGAGGGCCCATGGCCTGGAGAGAGCAGTGTGTGCTCTGCTGGGGACCCTGGGGGCAGGCCCTCGCCAGCCAGCAGCAGGACGGCTCCCCGGTCCAGCCCCAAGCACCCCAGCTGTGCCCGCTGCCCAGGGGAGCCCCACAGAGCTCCTGGCCTGGGCAAGCGGGGGAAGAGCCCTGCGAGGGGAGCTGCCGTGTCTGAGGCGCAGGCCTGTCTGGTCTCGCGTCCTGGCCCGCACCCTGCCTTCTGGGGTCCGAGGCTGGGGCAGGCCTGGTGGACATGCAGGGTCCTGTATCCTGAGCCAGGTGGGGGCTCTGGGGGTTAATCAGGACCCGCACGAGCCTGCAGCAGCCGGGACAGGGTGGGAAGGCCCGCGGCAGGGAGACCGCAGACGGTGGCATTCAGAGCTAAGGCCAAGGCCGGGCAGTTGTAGACCGTTCCTATGACGGGACACCCACCTCGTTCCAGTAGCCACATGCTCCCTGCTGCCCCGGGCTTGTGACCAGGCTCACCTCAAGGGCCTGACCTGAGTGCCAGGTAAGCCCAGGCCTGCGCCCACAGCGCTGACCACCCCGCTCCAGGCCCTGGGGCCCTGCAGCTCAGCACTCGCGGGGAGCCCCATCTGAGAGACCCCATGGAGGTGGCCGTGGGGCACAAGGGTCCCCAGCCCTCACACCCCGAAACCCCAAGGGAGAACAGACGGGGCGGGCCTCCCGGATGAGACCCTGTATGAGCCAGTGGCTGCAGGAGGGAGGGCCCCACTCCTGGTCCCGACCACACAGCCCGCCTCGTCCCTCTCAAGGCCAAGAGCAGACAGCAGCCTGGCCCAGACCCACACCAGGGCCCTTCTGGGAAACGAGACACGGTCTATTTTTGCTGGCTGACAACACAACAGAAGCAGCCGCTGTGACTTATCTCTGCCACCCACGGGCGCGGCCACAGAGGCGGCTTTGTGCCCCGGGGCTCCGCAGCCCCCCACCCCCCACAGTCCCAGCCAGAGACAGGGTGGGTGGGGGAGGGCCCCAATGAGGCCCCTGAAGGCCCTCGGGCCGCCGGCCCCTGTCTGTGTGAGTCAGCACCTCCCAGATTGCCCCCTGCGCCCCCGCGCACCGGCCCTGGAGAGGTCTCCCACCAGCCCACGCGGGGCCCTCACTCTGCAGGCAGCATGGCCTACTGCTTTTTGGGGGGTTCTCTCCAGCCCCAGGCAGGGCTAGCCTCTCCGGTCAGGGTCACCCAAGACCCCCACCACACCCCAGTATCAGAGGGCCTGGAGTCAGGGTCTCAGGGACCGCAAACCGGAGCCCCTCACCCTCTCCACCCCTGCCGCTGGGGAGGAGAATGGCCCTGCCTGCCCCCACTCAGGCTGGTCTGGTCTGGACTGTGGCACACAGACTTGGAGGAGTCCGGGCTGAGCCGGACACGGGGCAGCACTGCTGGACGTGAGGGTGGACCTGATGGCCCTCTGGGGCCAGCAGCGTCCTCTCCTGTAACGTCACCACGCCCCGCAAGCCCGGCTCAAGCCTGCAGCAAACGTCAGGACCCAGGAGATAGCCTGGCTGCTCCCCCCCGCCCGAAGACATGGTCACCTTCCCCCCACAGCCAGACTGGAGTGGACAGGCCCCTGCGAGGCTGGGCGGGGCTGGGGACAGACGCCAGGCCGCAGCCCCCGTGACCCCAGAGGACCTCGATGACGTGGACTGAGGTCTCAGATTGCTGGTCTGCGGGCTCTCGGCTGCCACTTCCCTGCCTGCAGCGTCCCCAGGCTGGTCCCAGGGTCCAAGCCCACATGGTGCAGCTGAGCCCACCCCACCAAGTTCCATGCTGGGGTCACGGATCCCCCCGCAGACAACACCGGCCACGCGTGGCCACAGTGCTCCCGCCAGGGGCTTTGTGCTCCTCAGAGCAAAGCCTGACATGGGGCTCGTCTCTGGACCCCTCCTCCTCGGGTCCTCGTCTGGTCTGCAGCTTCCAGCGAATCAGTTGGGGCCACGGGCAGGATGGGGGCCCATTCCACAAACACAGCCAGGTGGTCTGCGAAGGTGAGCCTGGAAGGCAGGTGAGGCACCTGTCAGGGGGGGCCGTGCCCACTCTGCTTCTGGAGAGTTCTCGGGGCTGCTGACATCAACCATGGCTACTCCAGACGCCCGAGTCCCCTGGAGCCATGAAGCTGGTGCTGTGGTTGACCAGCGCTCTCAAGATATCGCTGAGATGGGTCAAGTTACAGGACAGTCTACATACACAGATGACCTCATCGCTGTCGTGGAAGGGCAGAGGGCACACGCCTTCAGGCACAACTTCAATGAGTCGTAATAATTGGATGCACCCACCACTCCCACAGCCACGACATGGAGCATTTCACGGCTCCGGAAAGTTCTTTCCTGCCCCCTCCCAGTCAGGCCCCACCCTGCAGGCAACCTCTGCTTGGATTTCTATCACCGTTGGTTCCTTTCGCCTCTTCTTGGACTTCATAGAAATAGAGTTATATGGAGGTATTATTTTGGGTCTGGCTTCTTTCGCTTGAATTTTTGAGGCTCTCCCATGACATCCCCTGTCCCCTCTCACTGCCAGGCCGGGTTCCATTGTGCTCCTACAGCACCAACTCCTTTCCCCAAGTTCCCGTTCAGAAATAACTTGAGTTGCTCTTTTTTCGTTTTTAGCGATTATCAACGGAGCTGCTATGAACATGCTTTTACAAGTCTTTCCCCAGACATGTATTTTCATTTCTTTTGGGTAAATAGCAAGAAATGGAATTTCTGTGTGGAACGGTAGAAGTATATTGAGCTTTATAAGAAGTGGTCGAAGAGTTCTCCCACCCGGCCGTGTGACCTCATAGCCCCACCACCGTGTTCGAGAGTTCCGCCTGCTCCGAGTTCTTGCCAATACTGGGTGTTGTCAGGGATTTTTCATTCCAGCCGCCAACTGGAGAGAAATGCTATCTCCTTGTGGTTTTTACTGCATGTCCTGATGATTAATGATGTCTGATGATCTCAAAAGGTGTTTATCTTTGGTAGTAGGGTCTTTATATATTTAGGATAAAGGTCCCATGTTAGAGAGACGCACTGAATCCTTTCTTCCAGTCTGTGGTTTGCACTGTATTCTCTGAGCAAGTGTCTTTGCACGAACAGATGTTTGTAATCTTAGTGAAGCCGAATTTATCTGTTTTCCCTTTGATGTGTATTGTTTTTTGTACCCTTCCTAAGAAAACCATCTCCTGTTTTCCTTTGCTTTTACACTTTTGTCTATGATCCATCTCTAACTTTTTGTGTGTGGTGAGTTAAGAGCTGAAGTTCATTTTTTTTCCTCCATCTGTTTATCTGCTTGTTCAATTATTTGTTGGAAAAAAATTTCCTTTTCTGATTGAATCGCCTCATCACCCTGGTAAAAAATCAATTAACCATGGTTCACCACAGTATGGATGTACTAAATACACTTGGAAAACAATCAATTTTATGTTATGTGAATTTCACCTCAATTTTAAAAAACCAGTCAACCACATGTATGTGTAGCTGGGCTTCTGTTCTGCTCCATTAATGTAAATGTCTGTATTCACACCAACTTCCCACCAGCCCAATCACCATCCCTACAGTTAGTCTGGAGATCAGCTAGTGTGAACCCTCCAACTTGGTTGTGCCTCAAGATTGTTTGGCTATTTGGGACTCTTTGCATTTGCACACACTTCTCAGACTTAAGAGTGAATGTCTATAAAATGACTCAGGATTTTGACTGGGAAGGAATCAATTTGGAGAGAATTAACATCTTCACAATATGGAGTCTTACAATCCAGGAACAGGGTATTCTGCCCTTATTCACATCTGCCTCAATTTCTCAGCAATACTTTAGGTTTTTAGCAGAGAAGTTTTCATGGGCTTGGTTATATTTATTCCTAAGTACTTGGGTTTTTTTTTCACTTGCTTTTTTTTTTTACACTCCCAGAGTTTTAAATTTTATTTTTCCAAGTATCTGCTACTGTATTTAGAAATACTGTTGATTATTTATGTTGACTTTGTACCCTGTGTGTTTCATAAATTCACTTATTATATCTAGAGTAGCTTCTTGTTGTTGATTTTTTAAGGGTTTCCCATGTAAACAGCAATGATGTCTGTGAATAGGACAGTTTTACTTCTTTCTTTCCAGACTTTGTGTGGTGACACTGGCCAGGACCAACAGTACAGTGCTTATAGAAGGGGAAGGACACACATCCTTGCATGACTCCTGATATTAGGGGCAGACCACTCAGGGTTACAGTGTTCGTATGAAGTTAACTGTTAAGTTTCCAGAGACACCCTTTATTGACTCAAGGAAACTTCCTCCTATTGTTAGTCTATGAGAATTTTTTGTTTTGAGAGAGAGAGAAGAATCTCAAGCAGACTCCATGCCCAGCATGGAGCCAGACTTGGGGCTCGATCTCATGACCTGAGCCAAAACCAAGAGTCAGACACTTAACTAACTGAGCCACCCAGGCACCCCAGTCTGTGAGAATTTTTATCATAAACAAATGCTGAGTGTTTTCAAATGCTCCTTCTGTATCGATTCAGGTGAACACATTTTTCCCTCTTTTATCTCTTAATGTGCTGAATTGCATTGACTGTTTTCTGACAAACTAACCTCACATTCCTGGGATAAACCTGACTGGGTCCTGATATATTATTCTTTGTATATCTTCCTGCATTTGATTTTCTAATTAAAAAAATGGTATTTCTACATCTGTGTTCATAAGGATTTGGGTCTGTATTTGTCATTTCTTGTCAGGTTTGGCATTAGGGTCATCCTGGCCCTCATAAAATAAATTTAAATGTATCCTTCCTCCTTGATTTTCTGAAATAGTTTGTGTAAAGTTGGTATCATTATTTATTTATTTTTTTTAGATATTTGATCAAATTTAACAATGAAAACATCTGGGCCTGGAATTTTCTTTGTGGAAAGGTTTTTGATAGCAAATTCGATTTCTTTAATATGTATATGGCTGCCAGGATTTTCTATGTATTCTAGTGTCACTGTTGGTAAGTTAGATTTTGGAGGAATTGTTTGTGTCACCTGATTTGGTGGACAGAGAATTTGGGGTTGACGGGGTTTTTTTAAGAGTAAGCACCTCCATCGTCTTCTGGCCACCATCACTTCGACAAGAAGTCAGCTGTCACTTGTACCATCTTCCCCTGGAGGTCACGGCTCATTCTCTCTGGCTGCATTCAGGATTTTCTCTTTTTATTTACTCTTTAGCAATTTGATTGTGGTGTGCTTATGGGTGATTTTCTTTACCTTTACCCAGTTTAGGCTCATTGATCTTGAATCTATAAATCTGTGCTTTTCACCAAATTTAGGGGAATGTCTGCCTTTTCTTTTTTTTCCCAAAATATTTTGTCTATCCCACTCTGTATTTTCTTTCTTTCTGTAACTCCAGCTACAAGTATGTGAAGCTGCTCAATAGCATCCGCAGGTCACTGAGGCACTGTTTTGTTTTGTTTTGTTTTTTTAATATTCCTCTCTCTTGTTTTTCAAATGTGGTCATTTTTTAAAAATCTGTCTCCAGGTTTACTTATGTTTTCTTCAGCCACCTCTAATCTTTTGTTAGCCTCTCCAGTGCATTTTTCATCCTAGATATTTTACACTTCGGTATTAAAATATCTATTTGGTTCTTTTTATGTCTTCCTTTTCTCTGTTGAGATTTATTTCCACCTGTTCACTTTTTATGGCTTTTATTTTCTTGTTTCCTTACATGTCTAGGAATCTTTATTTACAGAATATTATTGATGATACATTGTTCAGACTCTGGGTTCCATTATCTTTCTCTGAAAACTATTAACTTTCATTCTAATAATGAAACTTAATTCTAATAATAATAAGCAGTTTATTTACTAGATAATCACCTTGCACTTGTGGAGACTTAGTAAACTCTTTTGGGGTGAATCTATTTTGACTTTTCCTGTAGTTTTAGGGAAAATCCTTAGCCCTAGGACGTAGTCTTTGCTCTTCAGTTGTGATCCTTCTGGAATTTCAGTGGAAAATCTGAGGTTTTTACCAACCCCCTGTAACTTGGCAGGATTGAAGCTCCAAATTCTGGCTCATATGGTGGGTGAGCCACAGCTGAAATCTCCACTCACCTCTACCAGCTGTGATTTCCCGGCAAACCCCTACATGTGTTATCAGGATGGAGGAGAGATTATACAAAGAGCTGGCCTCTCCCTCCATGGCTCCCAGTTTTCTTGGACTTCCTTTCTCAGTTCTCCGAATGCCACCTTCTGACACTTGACACCAAGTAGACTGCTTGAGTTACACCTGGCCTGCATGGGCAGACGAGGATGCCCTCAAACATCCTGTCTTCTTTAGTTTCTATTTTACGTTCTGCTCCAATATTTAAAAGATAGTGTTGTTTTTGTGTGCTTATTTGTTCAAAGTGTATAATTGTTGTCTTAAGGAAAGTTAGTCCAACACAAGGTATTTCACCAGACTTTTATCAGACTTTATAACTTTTTTGTTGAGTATGTTGAATGGAATGTTCTGACTATGGACTTATTAGGCAAGAGTCACTTCCCAAGAAACATTTATTGCTCAAGTTTCATGGTAGTCCTCTTCCCTACCTCCTTCTATTCTCCCTTGGACTCTCATCCCCCAAGATCATCCCCCCAGGTCATCTGTTAGCTGGAGCATTGTGGACAGCTTCATGAGACATTCGCAGGACACCACACAGGACTCACACCACAATCTCCAATTGATGGGGTTGGAACCACTGCAAGAAATAAGGTCAACCATGTCCAGAATTGAGGTTCTGAGCTGCAGAGATGTTTCTAATGGGTTGAGGTCTGTATAGGATCCAGATCACAGCAGTGGATGAGAGGGCCCTCAAAAGGTCTGTGTGGAGGGGGCCAGGGTAAGAAAAGGGAGGCATGATTCTGGCTAAGTGGAGAACCATCACCTTCACCCCAGGCCTCAGCCTGTGCTCACAGGCCCTGAGCAAGACCAAATAACTTGGGAATGTAGACAGAGAGGATATATTCAGAAGCTAAGCTGTTCCTTCCCAAGAGGTGGGTAGGAAAACAGAAAGAAAAGGTTCATGGGGCAAAGAACCTTTCCAAGGATCATGGGCATGAGGAGGAAAGGGTGAGAGAGACGCACACAGACAGGACCCACCCCTCGAGGAGCCATGACTTCGGTGTCACAGCAAAGTGAGGGGATGGCCACTGGCCTCCTACAGACACCGGGCTGATCAAGGTCCAGATAGGTAATCTCAAGGAGATCACGTTTCAGGAATGAGGAAGAAGTCCTGCAGGCATCCACGTCAGTGGAGAACCCTCGGTGGCTCATGATGGAGGGGAAAATGTGAACACCACAGTTCTCATTCAGGTCCGCAAACACAGCCATTCAACCAGGTAGCAATTGGGACTTTTGGGGAGTGGAAAGTGCATGCATGACCCATGAGTTCTCTCTCCTCTCAAGCCAGGGCTCACATGTGAGCGACAAAGAGGTATGTTCATGAACAGCAGGACTCTCAAAGCATCCTGGAAAATACGGCTCAGGTAGGAAGGTCAGATCAATAGGAAATGGATGAAAATTAAGATTACAGGTAAGAGAAGATACAGAACAAAAGGCATGATGGTAGATATCCAGACCAGTAAGTCAGACATTAATGTTTAGATAATTAGTATGTTTATAGAATAGAGTCCAGGTGTCAAAATAATTATTGCAAAGAATGCATAATGCGTGACATATATTCACAAAACAGAGCTCGAAACACCCACATTATTCAAGCAAAATTTGAGGGCTGGAAGCAAGGAAGGAGAAAATTCAGTACGCTAACATGTCCCATTCTATAGGGAGTGAGCCAGTTCCTGATGTAGTATTAATGCTGGCTGAGAAATCGTCATAAATATGTGCATTGATATCTTAAGGTAGCCACTGGTCAAATAAAAATGTTTCATTTTCAAATAAAGAAAAAGAGTAAGCAAGAAAAACCTGAGCAATGTAACAAAAGAAACACAATAGCAGTAATAGTAAAGCATGGGAATGTTAGGCGTCAGGAAGCCTATTAAAAGATAAAAAACAGACAAAGCAAACCTGATTAGGGCAACCAACTATCGAATGGGCCCAAAGATGAAATCCAAGTCCCCTGTTGTTGCAGGAACAGAAGAAACCAAGTCCACAGGGTGGACCCCTAAGCCGGTGAGCAGGGGACCCTGGAGGGGGCAGCCCCCGGCACCCAGTGTGGATGAATGAATGAGCCAGGTAGAAGCGCAACAAAGGAAGAACACAGGTGCAAATATGATCATCAGAAAACAGCGCAAGACCACCTGGAAATGTGGAGAAGCGCATCAAAGGGTTTTCTTCATATGAAAAATTATACTTCAGTCAACAACCAACACCTGCTCCGTGCCGTGTGTGGTCGTGTGCAATCTGCAGTGAGGGGTGCATGATTTCATCTTCCGGACAACTCTTTCAAACTCCCTTTCTGTT